ATGTAAACGTGTTTAACATTCCACAAAATTTTGAATGCCGTTTTGCCAGTATTGTTTAACCACTAGCCTACAGGGCACTTATACCCCCTTCCTGCCCAGGTCAATTTCCAGCTTTCAGCGCTGTCACACTTTGAATGACAATTGCGCGGTCATGCAGCATTGTACCCATATGAAATTGTTGTAATTTTTTTGAGACAGATAGAGCTTTATTTTGGTAGTATTTAATCACCTCCGGGATTTTTATTTTTTCTTACACAAACCAAAAACCACAGAAAATTTTGAAAAAAAAAACTTTTTTTCCTAGTTTTTGTTATACAATTTTGTAAATAAGTGATTTTTCTCCCTGATGTGCGCTAATGAGGCTGCAGTGGTGGGCACTGATAGGCTGCACTGATGGACACTGATAGGTGGCACTGATGGGCACTGATGAGGAGGCACTGGTAGGTTGCACTGATGGGCATTGACAGGCATCACTGATGGGCACTGAAAGGCAGCACTGATACATGACACTGATACATGACACTGATACATGGCACTGATATATGGCACTGATAGGCGGCACTGATAGGCAGCACTGACTGGCACTGATAGGCGGCACTGACTGGCACTGTTAGGCGGCACTGACTGGCACTGTTAGGTGGCACTGACTGGCACTGATAGGTGGCACTGATTGGCAGCACTGATAGGTGGCACTGATTGGCATTGATAGGTGGCACTGACTGGCACTGATGGGTGACATTGAAAGGCAGCTCAGATGGGCACTGATATGTGGCATTGATGTGCACTGGTATGCACTGATATGTTGCATTGATGTGGCACTGATGGGCACTGGCACTGATGAGCACTGACAGGTGGCACTTCTGGGGCCACACTGATCATCAGGGCACACTGATCATCAGTGCCCTGATGATCAGTGTACATGTCCCCTCCGCAGGAAAGCCGATTACCGGCTCTCCTCTCCTCTCGAGCTGTCAGCGTGACAGCTCGAGAGGAGAGAAATGCCGATAACCGGCATTTCCGTGTTTACATGTGATCAGCTGTGATTGGACACAGCTGATCACATGACCGGGCCGACATCTTCGGCTCTTTCCTTGATCCGCTGTGTCCGAGGGACACAGCTGATCGGCGATCGCCACGCTGCGTGCTCCCTGAGCCGCGTATGCGCAGTGAGAATAGTAGGACGTCATATGATGTCCTATCAGAACGAGAGAACCACCTTGCGCCCGTCATTGTACTATAGGGTGGGCGGAAGGTGGTTAAACATGTCTGCCACAATGCCCAACCAGGATGATAACTGTACTTCCTGGTTCAAAATGTCAGTTTATTGGGCAGTAGGAGTATTGACCTGCAAACAAGGTGTTTGCGATGCCAGCAGATCTGGCATTGCACATAACATTTTTTTTTTTTTTTTTTTACTTTCTAGAATGTACATACATTATCTGGCCTTTTAGCCATCAAACTTATTTTCCACTCCTACCCAAGTACACTGCGAGTGTCATTTACTACCCTCTAAAACATGCACATATATAGATAAATATTGTGCCTATTTGAATGCAGTGGATGCAAGCAATTGGACTTTGAACATTAAGCATGTTGTAGTCTAAGAAATAATAAGATATACCGAGTAATAAAGTACTAAAATAAATATAATTACAGCTAAGGAGAGGCCAAAAGGAAATTCTGGGAAGAAAGCCAGTGATGATAAAGGTCTTATAAGTCATACTGATACACAGTTGAGTAACTACCATTTCAATCCAGCAGCCACTTAATATCAATTCACTGGAAATTGACTTGAATAATATAGAACACATAAATTAATTATCTAAAAGGAGTGATATTGCAATTGACCATTGAGTTTCCATGATATATATTATCATTTTTTTTAATGCAAGGGAATACCAATCGTTCAAGACAAGCTATATGCAGAGAACACCATCAAATACTTCGTACATGAGCATCTGCTCAATTAGCTGACATGACCCTCTGTTCAACATGTAATTCTATTTCCCTCCCACACTAAAGAAGGCATTGAGCTGCAAATGCACTTATCACTATGTGAATTAAACATTTTGCATCACGTATGCTGAAAATAGGATAAAATAGGGTAAAACCATAGTTGTTACCCATAGCAATCATTTCAATTCCTAGTTTCATTTGACAGATGAGAAGTGACTGGTTGCTCTGGACAACTATTTTACTCTACTGTCTATTGCCATTTTTTCAAAAAACTAGGGTGTGGACAGACACAATCCCACCGCTATAATTCCTTTGAATGGTCTTTCCAAAAACATGTAAATTATGTAGTCCAAACTTGACTGTTTATGCCAAAGCAGACAGAAGAAAGTGCTGCCAGATACCTCCTTTAGCTCAGCTAAATGTTTTCTTACACATAGAGTTAGTCAGCGGAGGGTGTGTGGTACAGTCAGATTGCTTTCACGAGGACTGGCTGAATAGTGCCAGTGAGATTATGCCTATACTAGTTACTAAGTCTTTAATGTGAATACCTAGAATAATATTCTCCATATTTTCAATATTTATATAGACCCTATACTGTTTTACTATACATAAGATACAGTATAATTTCAGAGAGGAAGGTAAAGGTAAAAGAATATAAACCAGATTTCATACTTTTGTAGATTTATAGCCATTCTTTTACATTGCTTCCTATTCTCTTACCTACTTTTTTAGTAGGTAGTCTGCAGGAGCCTCACATTGCACTCGCCATCTGCTGATTACAGGTGGAATGCTCTGCAGGCTGCTAAGAAAAAAATAATACATGCACATTTTTTTACCTGCAAAAAAATGTTCATATAATACTTTTTTTTACAGTGAACTTATCTTTTAATGTAAAAAAAAGGTACCAGTGTTTGTATTGCCTCATTAAGCTCCTGTATACTTACCTGAGTCTTATCTCGCTCCAGCCCTGTGCCTGTTTACAGCAACTCTCTCCTCTCTCTCTGCTCTCAGAGGCAGCAGCGAAAGCCATTGGCTTCTGCTGCTGTCAGTCAAATTCTGTGAGAAGGTAGGGCTTAGCCATATTGTGTGTGCCTAAAGAAGTACACAGCCTGGCTCGGGAGCAAGCCCACACTTGCACTCCCATAGGAAGCTGCTTCCTATGGTGGAACACAGAGAGGAAGAGCCAAGAATGCCGGTGGGAGACCCCAAAAGAGAAGGTTTGGGGATTTTCTGTGCAAAACCATTTCACAGAGCAGGTAAGTATAACATTGTCTTGTCATTTTTAAAAAAAAATGCTTTACAACCTCTTTAAGTAAAACAAGACAAGGGTGAAGGACAGGCATAAGCCTTTTGTGCCTACAGTTCCATTTTCTGCTGGACACACCTGCTCACCTTTCTTTGTGCAGAACTAGGCCTCAACCACCACAACCATAGCAAACAAACGACATCAGAAGTCTCAAAAGACTTTGGCCCAAAGCTAAAATCCCTTAAAGACTTCATTCTACACCAACCTGTCCTCCTAAAATACACCTCTTGACTAGATGCTGCTCAGTAAACCTACTTTGTCACTTTCTTTAATACCCTCTCATCCAGTCCCTTAGCCATCACCCACCATCTCACTCACTACCCAGGAGATTGCCAATAATTTCAAAAACAAGATCAATGCAATTCATTATGAATATAACTTTGTCCAGCTATTTAATCGAAGCAACATACCATGTCTATCATCACTTATACATGATTTATATAATTTTGTGCTATCACCCTTTATAAAAAACTAAATGTGGCTCAGTGTAAATGTGGCTCAGTGAAAATGTATGCAAAACACATTTCAAGTGTTACTAAACCCGGACCTTGCATTCACTATATCTGGTCTCCCACATTACACAGAACATGGAAGTGCAATTATTTTAGTAAACATAAACTGGAAAATACCTTTTCTCATCAGCAGTTAGAGCAGTCATGTGACTTCTATCAGTTTACAGTCAAGTACCGGCTAAAGCTTGTAGGAGGAGTTTTCATTTTACTTTAGGAGGATGCAGAACCCCTGACCTCAGTCGGGACAGTGCTGATTGGCCTTGTGCTGGCCACATGCACTCTCCCAAGAAAAAAAACAACCTCCCTAGCAATACACACTAAACTGAGCATGTGCAAAGTGACTCCACACGATATGTCTTATCAGGAGATAAGACGGGTGTGACGGGCATGGCGTCAGACCCCCAGCCCTTCTCACCAACTTGTGAATGAAGGACTAGCCAATCTTAAACCACGCTGTCATGTGCATAACAATGCCACGCTGAGCTGCACCCTGCACAAAGATTTTCCAGCTTACTGGACCACAATCTATGTGCCGCAGCCTGAGACCGATTGTTACTGGGTCAGGTTAATTACGCAGTTAACCCTTCACACTGCCACCACCACCTTTTTGTACAGAGAAGGAGGAAACTCACAAATCTTAGCAGTAACACTATGATGTTTGAATAAGCGTCTGTATACACACTGTCACCTCAGGCAGATGTATACAGAAGTTTAAAACACACAATAGTGCTCTTCAGACAGGGATTCTTAGTTTGCATTAAAGAGCTTTAGAAACTGTTCAACACTTTTCAGAAAATAGGATTTATTACTAAAAAGGTCAAAATGATGCAATAAAAATATTTACAGAAAAAATGTAGCCAATATATATATATATATATATATATATATATATATATATATACCGTATTTTTCGCTCCATAAGACGCACTTTTTTCCCCAAAAAATATGGGGGAAAATGTCCCTGCGTCTTATGGAGTGAATACTGACCAGTCCTCCACCTGTCACTGCCGCCGTGTTAGGGCCAGCGGCTGTCCCATCCCACTGCAGCCTGTCGCCTCCCACTGCAGGCTGTCACTGAAGTTCACCTTACCTTCTCCCCTCCCTCAGCGGGCTGTCCCCGCAGCTCTTCATAGCAGGCAGTCCCCTCGCCAAACCCAGCCAGCTTGCTCTGCAGTCCGGTCCGCCCTGCAGGTGTGGCCTGTCCTCGGAGCTCGTCCCTGCTCCTGGCATGTCTATGTACTCTACTCCCTGCTCTGCAGTCTGGTCCGGTCTGCAGGTGTGGCCTGTCCTTACAGCTCCTCCCCTTTCCTGGCATGTGTCCATAGTGCGCTCCCTGCTCTGCAGTCCGGTCCTATCAGCTGGTGTGGCCTGTCCTCGGAGCTCAGTGTTCCCCCTGCCTTCTATAGCCTGCCTTCTGTAAGTTAAAAATGACAGATGCTGGGAATTGTTGTCCTTTTCCTTGATGTATGGTGTCAGATCATTTGATATTCTGGGTGGAGGGGCCCTGTTGGGACTTTATATGATGTAGTATGTCTGCAGTCTCTGTTCATCCCCTGTACTGTGTCTGCAGTCTCTGTTCATCCCCTGTACTGTGTCCGCAGTCTCTGTTCATCCCCTGTACTGTGTCCACAGTCTCTGGTCATCCCCTGTACTGTGTCTGCAGTCTCTGGTCATCCCCTGTACTGTGTCCGCAGTCTCTTGTCATCCCCTGTACTGTGTCCGCAGTCTCTGGTCATCCCCTGTACTGTGTCTGCAGTCTCTGGTCATCTCCTGTACTACGTCCGCGGTCTCTGGTCATCTCCTGTACTATGTCCCCAGTCTCTGGTCATCTCCTGTACTGTGTCCGCAGTCTCTGGTCATCTCCTGTACTATGCCTACAGTCTCTGGTCATCTCCTGTACTGTGTCTGCAGTCTCTGGTCATCTCCTGTACTATGTCTGCAGTCTCTGGTCATCTCCTGTACTGTGTCCGCAGTCTCTGGTCATCTCCTGTACTATGTCTGCAGTCTCTGGTCATCTCCTGTACTGTGTCCGCAGTCTCTGGTCATCTCCTGTACTATGTCTGCAGTCCATTGGTTCAGAATATTTTTTTTCTAGTTTTCTGCCTCTAAAACCTAGGTGCGTCTTATGGTCAGGTGCATCTTATGGAGCGAAAAATACAGTATATATATATATATATATATATATATATATATACATACAGAGAGCAATAACACAACAGAGAGATAACAGAAAGAAGTTTAGGGAGGTAGGGTACTTGGTTTAAGTAGATTCAAGTGTCCTGAACAAAAGGGTACCTGTTCTCCCAAAGTTGGTTCCTGATGTTAAAAAGGGAGAATCTCTTCATCTTACCTCTCTCAGGCCTGACAGCCTGTTTTGTAGTCCCCCAGCAGGGGGTGTCTACTGACGCCAAGGGCCAATTGCCTCATTTGGGGAGGGGGTTTAGGCGGAGACCTGGCTGTAACCCATAACCCTTCCCAGTCCACACCATGGTCAATAACCTTCCCTAGGTACATTGTCATGGAAATTTTGTATTGTTGGTCGAACTTTAAATGTGTCATATATTCGTGTTATTCATATGTCTCTCGTGTGGCTTAATTAAAGCTCTGAAGGCTGCAATTGGGCCATGCGCATGTACAATGTATGTATTACAGTACTCAGCTTGGTAATGGATGAGATGGCAGATCTGCGCTTATAGACCGGCGTGTATACCACCACGGCATTCGATGCGAATGCTGCTGTCAGTAGACCGTGGGCCTGTATCCACATATCAGCAGCATGGTACCACGTGGGCTTCATAACGCAATGCGCAAGCGGTGTGAACTCCACGTGTAGGCTTATTCATATCTTACAACCCATTACTAATCTGAACTGTATCTTGGATGGATGTGTTTTAATAAAGATCGTATCGGGCCCATCCAGGTACAGACTGATATTTTTAGGAGATGCTTGTGCAGAGAATTTACATACCAATAGAAGCTAGTAGGACAGGAAATATGACCTCAGATGGCTCATGGGGGGAAGGGGAGGAAGTCTGCTGACCTCAGAAGACTCATGGGGGAGGACCAGTGATAGATAATAGGAAAGGCTATGCTCCAATTGGAATGTACATCCTGTGTATAGGTACTCCCCATTGCATTGTTTGGTGGGAGGGGATTGACTTTATTCATGTGGGGGCATGTGTGTATTTTTAATAAAACAGAGAGCTGGGTCTAAAATCAGCCCTTATGTGAATTGCAACACCAGCCTTAGAGTGTCGTGTGATCATTCTAGGGTAACGGAGCTCCAATCACCCACATTTCAACAGAACCAAAGTATTTGGATGGGCAGGAATCGTGTAGTTTAGCTGCAGTCGTGGTAAGCGAGATTCGCACAGCTTTATGGGGGATTTCTGCGCATCCAACTGCGAGTACTCACGGTAAGGAGAAATTCGTTAAAGCGAATTTCCAAGACAACATGTAGCATCCTATCCACTGGTAGAATAATGTGCAGAATCATATTCTGAACGCCCAGACACCAGATATGTCATATCTGCCTGTGACAGTTAAAAAGATATTGCTTCCTGTTCTCGGGTAGACGTAATCTAAGGATGTACGGTATCAGGTGACTCGCATTAAACTGACCTATCTGAATATATGCTTTGTTCTATTGTGCCTATTTCCTGCCTGGCATTATGAAGTTGTATAAAAAAGTGGTTTCAAATGGGATGTAGGTTTTACTGCTATTCTGGAATGCTTTTAAGTCCACTGACTGACGGGTTCATAGCTTTACGATCAGCTCAGAGCAAGAGTCTGACAGACACCATGGCATCAGCTAATTGGGTTTACAACCATGAAGTGTATCCAGCTGTGCCCGATGCACTCCTGAACTCAGCCACACCAGACCACATGCCATTCAACAAAATGGGAGGGGGGGACTGATTTGAAGTGAGAATGACACAAGATGGAGGATCTTTAGCAAAATGGATGTCCGCGTCCATATCTGTACGTACAATTGCTACAACAGGGACACTGGAAGAAGAGGAGGATCAGAAAAGTCAGAATCAAGCAGCATTTTTACACAGTGCAAACCCCACAGAATTAACCCCTTTAGGTTCTACAGTGAGTATAACAAGCATACTTTATTCCATATACAGGCTGATTTTACTGTTGGGAGTTTAGTAACACTTTAAAACAATACTATAAATTAAAATTAAAGCTCAAATAGAATTAACCCCTTTAGGTTCTACAGTGAGTATAACAAGCATACTTTATTCCATATACAGGCTGATTTTACTGTTGGGAGTTTAGTAACACTTTAAAACAATACTATAAATTAAAATTAAAGCTCAAATAGTGTAAATTATCTCTTGATAATGTTCAGTGAATGAAACATGTTGGGAAGAGTCTGTTCACGCTGGCTGTAAGTCTATCTGAAGAATATTGGTCATTGAGGAGTAATATGTGAAGTGGGATATTTGGAAGGTTGGCTTGGAAAAGGACTAGTAATTTGAGTCATGAGTAGGCTTAAAGTTATATACTTTTGGTGAGTCATTCTGGAAACACATCAAGCAAAAGGTGATTGTTACACAGTGGTGTTTTGTTTGGCCCTGGAGAACTGAGGATACGCTGTTTTTGGAAGTGTGTTTTGCAGCGGTGGATTGTAAAGAAGAGAGGTTACAATTACTGTATTTCTTTTCTTAATTTCTTATTTTACTGAAGTTTTCTTTTTGTTTTTTAATGGCTTCACATTCACTGAGGCAGCACAGAAAAAAGTAAGAATATTTTTTAATTTGTCCCCCACAGATTTTTTTAATGTTTATGTTTAGTTATGAGCGAATTATTCAAAAATTCGATTCGGCTGATTCGCCGAATTTCAGGAAGAAATTCGATTCGATGCAAATTTATTCGCTATGTAGTTAACTTATAAAAAGGGTTTCTAGGCTTCAGAGAGCCTTTAAATTAGTGCAGAACACTGTACCTTTAATTTAAATGCCCTTGGAGATGAGAAGGAAGGAGAAGGAGAAGGATGAGAAGAAGGAGAAGGATGAGAGAAGAAGGAGAAGGAGAAGAGAAGGAGAAGGATGAGGAAGAAGAGGAGAAGGATGAGAAGAAGGAGAGGAAGAAGGAGAAGGATGAGAAGAAGGAGAAGGAGAAGGATGAGAAGAAGGAGAAGGATGAGAAGAAGGAAGAAGGAGAGAAGAAGGAGAAGGAGAAGAGATGAGAAGATGGAGAAGGAGAAGGATGAGAAGAAGGAGAAGGAGAAGGAGGAGAGAAGAAGGAGAAGGATGAGAAGAAGGAAGGAGGAGAAGGATGAGAAGAAGGAGAAGGAAGGAAGAAGGAGAAGGAGAGAGGATGAGAAGAAGGAGAAGGATGAGAAGAAGGAGAAGGAGAAGGATGAGAAGAGGGAGAAGGATGAGAAGATGGAGAAGGATGAGAAGAAGGAGAAGGAGAAGGATGAGAAGAAGGAGAAGGAGAAGGATGAGAAGAAGGAGAAGGAGAAGGATGAGAAGAAGGAGAAGGATGAGAAGAAGGAGAAGGATGAGAAGAAGGATGAGAAGAAGGATGAGAAGAAGGAGAAGGATGAGAAGAAGGATGAGAAGAAGGAGAAGGATGAGAAGAAGGATGAGTAGAAGGAGAAGGATGAGAAGAAGGAGAAGGATGAGAAGAAGGAGAAAGGATGAGGAGAAGGATGAGAAGAAGAAGGAGGATGAGAAGAAGGAGAAGGATGAGAAGAAGGAGAAGGAGAAGGATGAGAAGAAGGAGAAGGAGAAGGATGAGAAGAAGGAGAAGGATGAGAAGAAGGAGAAGGATGAGAAGAAGGAGAAGGAGAAGGAGAAGGATGAGAAGAAGGAGAAGGATGAGAAGAAGGAGAGGAGAAGGAGAAGGATGAGAAGAAGGAGAAGGAGAAGGATGAGAAGATGGAGAAGAAGAAGGGGATGAGAAGAAGGAGAAGGAGAAGGATGAGAAGAAGGAGAAGGATGAGAAGAAGGAGAAGGATGAGAAGAAGGAGAAGGATGAGAAGAAGGATGAGAAGAAGGATGAGAAGAAGGAGATGGATGAGAAGAAGGATGAGAAGAAGGAGAAGGATGAGAAGAAGAAGGATGAGAAGAAGGAGAATGATGAGAAGAAGGAGAAGGATGAGAAGAAGGAGAAGGATGAGAAGAAGGAGAAGGATGAGAAGAAGAAGAAGGATGAGAAAAGAAGAAGGATGAGAAGAAGGAGAGAATTCCAGCCGGCAAAAAGTGTATCTGCAGAACTCCGCTATTTCTTAGGCTATTTCTGACAGTTCTGTGACATTCACTCCATACAGCGGTTGAAACCGCTGTATGGAGTGAATGTCACAGAACTGTCAGAAATAGGCTATTTCTGACAGTTCTGTGACATTCACTCCATACAGCGGTTGAAACATTGTATCTATTTGTTTCCATAAATGGATCCATTCCAAAAAGTGTATCTGCAGAACTCCGCTATTTCTTAGGCTATTTCTGCAGAACTGTCAGAAAATATCTGCAGACTCCTCTCTGCAGATACACTTAGCGGGAGCTCTTGCAGATAACACTTTTTGCCGGCTTGGAATTATTCTTATTTTCATCCTACTTCTTTCTTCTTCTTCTTCATCCTCATCCACATCCCTCTTCTTCTTCTTCTGAGGATGAGGATGAAGAAGACAGAAGAAGAAGTGAGGCTAAGGATGAAAATAAGATATAAATACCAAACATGGCAAAAAGTGTATATCTGCAGAAGCTCCTCTAAGTGTATCGAGCGAAAAAAATAGAGGTATGCGCTCTCCTGCAGATACACTTTTTGCCGAATCTTGGAATTTATATCCTTAAACTTTTTCATGCCTACATTCTTCTTCTTCTTCTTTCATTCTCATCCTACAGAAGAAGAAGAAGAGGTATAGAGGATGAATAGGAAAGAAGAAAGAAGAGTGAAGGATAAGAATGAATTCCAGCTCTTTCCCACCGGCACAAAAAGTGAATAATTCATCTCAAGCCGCCTTAGCAAAAAGTGTATCTGCAGAGCTCCCTCTATTCTGCAGATACACTTAGAGGATCTCTAAGCAGATACACTTTTTGCCGGCTTGGA